TAAGTACGTACGCACTGGATGGGGGGAGGGGGGTCAGCCAAGGCATGCGTACACAATGTTAAAGTCCTATGTACGAGGGGCGTTTCGGGGGTAGGGGGGGTCAATTTTTAGACAAATTTTTGCGTACGTACTTATTGAATGGCCCCTTATTAAATACCTGAACATCTGTACAAAAACAACTCATTTATTAAATATCATATCACATAAAAATCATTTACAAGTCATTGTTTGTAATACATATTTGTCTGAATAATTGTATTAAATTACGGATTGAATTGTTTGTATGAATAATAATTTTTATTTGTATTAGTCTTAAGACTCGAGTGATGTCTAGCGGATCAAGTGATGAGAGGTTTGCAGCAGTTTTGAGTCCAGATGTGTCCGATTTACCTTTCACAAATATTGTTACATTTTTTGGTCATTTATGAGTTAAAAAGTGTATGTAATTAAAAATAAAAATTTGGTTTTACTACAGGCTAACTGACAATGTTTAACCCATAAACATCCACAAAATGTAACTATATTTGTGAAAGTAAATAGACACATCTGGCTAAGGACTGATTTGCATTGAATTTGTACTCAATTTGGCATAAATTGTGTAAAAATGTGTTCAATATTTGCCTCATAAACAGTGTTTCAAGAACTTATCAAAAGATATTAGAAATAGTCTCACAAACTGTGGAGCCATTGAAAAGCGATTACAATAAATGCGACAAGAGTTTGTCAAACAAACCACACAAACGTAGAAAATGCGAGACCAAAGACATACCGGCGCTCAACACCTATTCCATAGATAGCAAAGTAGTTGACGATAGAAATCCAAGGATTACTGAACATCCAGTTCCTTGAACTTCCAGATCTGATGTCAACTCAAAACTAGCGAACACTTCCCATAAGTATTATTGTTTTAATTAATCATTTGTGCCATAAGTTTATGAAATTATTTTTGTATACAAAATAGTGATACGAATAGCGATGACAAGGATTATAGTGACCTTTCAGATGATACTCAAGAGTTGTTGACCAGATTTGATGGTTTGGTGGGTAGGATGGACCAGATGTTAAGTCCACCAAAACAGACCCAACCGATCACCACTTCCATTGTTTATGACAAACAAATTATCACCAAATCAATGGCCGATACATCAAAGTGGTATGTGCTCAAGACAATGAGTTACTGAGACTTTAATATAAGAAATTAATTGATTTGTTTTGTGATTAAATAGTGACTCGAAATCTGATCTCAAGCATAAGATAGATGATATATTTGCATTTTTAATTAAATTCTCTATAAAATTGTTAAAATTATTCGAGATATCTAAAAATAAATTCAATTGTGTTTGAATTCAAAATAATTTCTGTTTATTAATCAAATTTCAATCATAAGTATGAATACAATTGAAATGAAACTCTTTTGTGTATTCATTCTGTTCACTCATTATTGTATTAATTGTTATTTTATAAAACGAGTGAATACTGCATACAAGCTAACGATATATTTAGGACAGGGTCTGTTTGTCAAAGAGGTACTCCCCGAGACCCGGGCCCACCCGTTTCAAGTTAGTCACGTGATCGCCGAGTTTCTTGATGTCGTCCACCTGTTCGTGAAGGAACTCACTCTCAATGAAGTCCGTGAACTCCGGATCGTTAGTCTTAGCGCCGATACCCTG